GTTTTGATAGCAGTGATAGTGATATCGTCCAAGCAACAAGGCGACGAGAGAAAGAGTTCGCATAGATAGCGATTACAACAACAAAACAAAATTATAAAAAATAAAATATTGATCTTTTTGCGAATTTCTCGATTTCAGCCAATTCATAAAAGTCCAATATCATTATAATATGTTAGTTGGACTTTTATGAATTGGCTGAAATCGAGAAATTTGCAAAAAAATCAATATTTTATTTTTTATAATATTGTTTTATAATATATTAGTTAGTTCCAAAAGCATACTAAATAATACGAGGGTCTGTAAATTCCCGTTTCTGCCGAAAAGTGGCGCCGAGTAACTGGTAGCCAACGTCCAGAATGGTTCGGAGTGCTAAGAGTTAATACACGAACATTGTAACAAAAATATGTATTACTGGCGGAGGGCAACGATGTTCAAGTGTGAGTCGCGTGGAGCTTTTTTTAAATTTCGGGTCTTCGGCAATGCCACGGTCGAATAGTCGAAGAGATTGTCATTTAACCAATTGAAGGTTAAATGAACTTATTGTTTTTTATCATGCTATTGAGTGTTGATCGAGATTTGCCTATGGTGATTAATCTATCTGTTTCTTACATCAATAGAGCACGATTGAATGATCAAACGGTCAATTTTGAAAGGGCATAAACCATTGTAAACTGAAAGCATTTAAGCAATTTTCCTAACAGAAATATTTAATAGCACGATACAATTACAACAAAAAGTTGTCACATCGGTACTTGAACATTTCACGAAGAATAAATATTTCATATATAAAATTTATTAACAATTGTGATTTTAATTCCTCGCAAAATTCCCTCTGTTTAATTATCTCCGTTTAATAATCGTTTGGACAGTTGAATATTCAATATTTTGGAGAAATGGTATGTCATTTTTCTTTCAGGTCTCATTTGTATACGAAACGTTAACCATTATTATTATAATTATCTTATGTCGACTGAAGTATATTTTACAGTAATTTATAATTAACACAGGCCAGCATTGCTGCGTTCTCGTTTCTCGTATACGAAATGAAATGATTATAACACTGTATTTACATTTCATTTAAAAAATGAATAGATTTTGTGTCATGTATGTCAATGGCATCGTAGAACGCCCACTCGTTCCAGGATTTCCAATTCAAATTTGTGTAATCGATCGGTTAGGTCGGTGTAATTTCACTTTTATTAAAGCTCGTCTCATTCTGTACACAGGATATACCATTCTAAAAATAACTCATTTAAGGTTATGTCAAGGTGATAAGTCTACACCAAAGTACACTTATCAGTTTTTACACGTTTGGATTTTATGCATTTAGGTCAAGGATGTATAAATCAAATTTGAAAAAGTGAAAACGTTTTTAAAACGAATGTCAACGTACATTTGTATTATTTTCAACTTGATAATGTTGTTCGTAAACTAAATAAACATATGTGTCTAGCTCTTGTATGCAGTTGCAACTTTAATGCACACAATGTTGCATAAAAATCCGCAGTATAGTGACAATACCAAAAAAAAATTGTTTCAATACTTCAACCTAGATTCCACCACCAAAATAACCTTTATAATGAATTATAAATAAAACAAATTTGTTTCCAAGTTTGTAAATAAAACAAATTTGTTTGCAACTTTGTAAATAAAACGAATTTATTTACAACTTTGTAAATAAAATAAAATCTACAATTGTCGAACAAATATATGCGCATATTTGTACACTATTCCTATGAGGAAAACATTGAATGATTCAAAGGATACAATAAGAGTAAGCATAGTAAATTTCCCTTACCATTTAAAAATTGATTCTCGTCCAATCAAATTCAATGTGGTCAGTAGACTGCTGATTTTATGCATTTATGACAAAAATTAATAGATCAAATATAAAACAGTGAAACTTTCAAAGAATTTCGAAATACAGTAGCATTATTTCCAAATCATTAAAATGATTTAAAAAACGAAATCTGCGTCTACGTAGCTCCTATATCTTATAATTAGTGCAAACCATTTTTACGTTGCATAAAAAATCGCGTCTAGTGATTAGCTTCTGTAATCATGCAACAGTCCAAATCGTCAAAAACATTAAGATGAGAATCATTAAGATAAAATCTGTTGTATCTTCCACTTTTCAAAAATTCGATGACAGAACATGCGAAGCCCGTCGATCTTGATCCGAATACACAGTCGCTGCGCTGAGACATCCTGAAAACCGGTAATTCAAAACGGTCCTTTAAGGACCTCAACAGGATCTCCGTTCCGAAGCAGAAATCTCCTTCACGAGAACATCTGCAAACCACAATTTCATTCCAAATAGTTGCAGTTCATCCGAAGTTTCCGGGTGACTTAGACATCTTAGGAGAGTCAACAGTGCTTTATAGGGATCGTCCCTCGATCCCTGAGATCCGGCTTGCGTCGCAGGAGCCAAGAAAGCGTTCGACGCCGCCGAATATTCTAGTTGTCGGTAATTAGTTGTTCTTAACGAGTTGATATTCACAGACTATTCTATTCGATGCGATAACGCCGGGAACATTTCATTACCACGCTGTTTACGTACAACGTTTACATGCTGTGGCACCGATTTCCTCGCATCCCTCCTTTTCGCAATTTTCATACGTAAAAACTACGAAAAAAACTCTTTAAAATTACGAAAATTATATATATCGTCGCTTTGTACTACTTATAAGGCTGTATCTGTATCTACAAGCATAATATGTATTTAGTAGAATGCAGCTTTGATGCACCCGTAAAAAGAAATATGTACATACAGTTTCACCTAGTGAGAATATAAAATACTAAAAACTTGAGAAAAACATAACGATACTGGTGTATTTTTCACCTACTGTAATTGTTGCGACAGAAAATAGATTGTTACTTAATTTCTAATTATTGTCATTCAGGTGGAAAAAATGTTATAATACAGAGTAGTCCAGAAATCGTCTGTGCAATGTATGTCTTTAACCTTTTAGGCCCGACGCGCCACTATAGTGGCTTGCTCTAGTAGCTCATTCGCTCATCGTTTGAACCAAATAATCGTCTTCGTATGCATTGTTTCACACTTCTTTTGTCTTCACATCGATTTACAACAGTCTACAGGGTATCCCAAAAATGTCTCGCAATCCGGAAATGGCGGGTTCCTCGGATCATTTGAAGCAACTTCTTCCTTTACAAAAATGTTCTCCGAGGCACCGTTAACGAGTTATTAACGAAAAACAGTGACCAATAAGAATCGAGTACGGCTGACGCGAGGCGGCACAGCCAACCAGCGCGCGAAGCCCAGTTCCGCTCATTGGCTCGGTCGCCTCGCGCCACCCGAGCTCGCCTCTCATTGGTCACTGTTTTTCGTTAATAACTCGTTAACGGTGCCCCGGAGAAAATTTTTGTAAAGGAAAAAGTTGCTTCAAATGGCCCGAGGAATCCGCCACTTTCGGATTGCGAGACATTTTTGGGACACCCTGTATATACAGACAGAATATACAGTATCAGACTCTGTACAGTACATATCAGACTCTGCCGTCCAGAGAAATAGTAATGTAAGAAAAGAGAAATTGTAAGAAGATCTGTTTACTTCTTAAACATACAATTAATTTTCATTTCACAATTTTATAAATCCAATATGTATTAACTCGTTAAACGTTATAAAATCAAAATATATTTTCTTTTTGACGGACTATCTAACCATTCCATCAAGATATCAGAAAATCTAAATATTTCAAGATATCATCAGCACTTAAAGATTCAAGAGGTATAAAACACTCCAATAATAAAAAATAAAACATTTAATCACACAGCATGCAACCGCTAATTTCAACCTGTAAATATAAACTATCTTGTTTGTAATTAACATCATTATATGTATAGTTTTTCTTTACATTATATTATTCAGTTTCTGTAGTATATCACAAAATAGGTAATAACATACATTACATTAACGTACATTACATTTATATATAATATAACTATAAATAACTATAAATATATATAATATAATAATTATATATAACATAACGTACAATTACATTACATTAACATACGTTACATTAACCATAATGTACAATGATATAAATTCTACTAAATGCCATTGGACAGACTGTATAAATAAATTGGATTGAAAAGGAAAATATCTTCTTTTTGGACGAAAGTACTCGCACGTCGAGTTTGCCACGGGTTCGGAAAACAATCGAGATCCAGTTTGGCATTATCGACGTGCGGGAGCGAAAATTACAGGTTATTCGACGAAATGAAATAACGGGATAGTCTTCTCGGCAAACAGGAGCATGAAGCAGACACGACGCGAGCTGCAGCCTCTCGGCAAACGATTCGGAAAACTGGATCTCGATCGAGTTGGTAAAGTATACATCAACCGTTTCGAACTTCCTGCTTGGCGTGCTTGTACTTCGCCGTTGCAACCTACTTCTTTTTTTCCAAAAGGGTTTTTTCACGATCCATCGCCGGCACCCTTCGACAAGTACACCGGAACAACTGTAAAGTTTCGGGAGGGCATCGAGAAGGGACGTCAACTGCACCCTGGCCCACCCACACCCTTATTCGAACAGAAATTCACGCGAATTTTCTACGGAGAGGCGTTGAATGAACCATGGCGATCGCAGCCGAAAGATCGGGTAATCGAGCGACACGATTTAGTGGAATTGCTGTCATGCGATTTCTTCGACTTCTGGCGCCGCTGGATCCGTCAAGCCGCGTTAACTGGAAACCATTCTTCATTTACACATTCGCCAAAAACTGTGCAGTGGAACACCTGCATCCTCTAGATTTTTAGATAAACAACAGCGATAAGATTTAGATAAACAACGATTTGTAAGATCGAATACCGTGTGCAGTTCATTTAGCAAATTCTTTTACAATTATTCTAAAATTGTTCTAAAATTGTTCTAAAATTGTTCCAAAATTCTTCTAAACTTATTCTGAAATTATTCTAAAATTACTCTAAAATTATTCTAAAGTTATTCTGAAACTGTTTTAAAATTATTCTACAATTATTTTAGAATTATTTGTAAATTATTATAAAATTATTTTAACATTCTTTTACAATTATTGTAAAATTATTCTGGAATGACAATTCAATTTTGAACAAACATTATNTGGTCACTGTTTTTCGTTAATAACTCGTTAACGGTGCCCCGGAGAAAATTTTTGTAAAGGAAAAAGTTGCTTCAAATGGCCCGAGGAATCCGCCACTTTCGGATTGCGAGACATTTTTGGGACACCCTGTATATACAGACAGAATATACAGTATCAGACTCTGTACAGTACATATCAGACTCTGCCGTCCAGAGAAATAGTAATGTAAGAAAAGAGAAATTGTAAGAAGATCTGTTTACTTCTTAAACATACAATTAATTTTCATTTCACAATTTTATAAATCCAATATGTATTAACTCGTTAAACGTTATAAAATCAAAATATATTTTCTTTTTGACGGACTATCTAACCATTCCATCAAGATATCAGAAAATCTAAATATTTCAAGATATCATCAGCACTTAAAGATTCAAGAGGTATAAAACACTCCAATAATAAAAAATAAAACATTTAATCACACAGCATGCAACCGCTAATTTCAACCTGTAAATATAAACTATCTTGTTTGTAATTAACATCATTATATGTATAGTTTTTCTTTACATTATATTATTCAGTTTCTGTAGTATATCACAAAATAGGTAATAACATACATTACATTAACGTACATTACATTTATATATAATATAACTATAAATAACTATAAATATATATAATATAATAATTATATATAACATAAAATACAATTACATTACATTAACATACGTTACATTAACCATAATGTACAATGATATAAATTCTACTAAATGCCATTGGACAGACTGTATAAATAAATTGGATTGAAAAGGAAAATATCTTCTTTTTGGACGAAAGTACTCGCACGTCGAGTTTGCCACGGGTTCGGAAAACAATCGAGATCCAGTTTGGCATTATCGACGTGCGGGAGCGAAAATTACAGGTTATTCGACGAAATGAAATAACGGGATAGTCTTCTCGGCAAACAGGAGCATGAAGCAGACACGACGCGAGCTGCAGCCTCTCGGCAAACGATTCGGAAAACTGGATCTCGATCGAGTTGGTAAAGTATACATCAACCGTTTCGAACTTCCTGCTTGGCGTGCTTGTACTTCGCCGTTGCAACCTACTTCTTTTTTTCCAAAAGGGTTTTTTCACGATCCATCGCCGGCACCCTTCGACAAGTACACCGGAACAACTGTAAAGTTTCGGGAGGGCATCGAGAAGGGACGTCAACTGCACCCTGGCCCACCCACACCCTTATTCGAACAGAAATTCACGCGAATTTTCTACGGAGAGGCGTTGAATGAACCATGGCGATCGCAGCCGAAAGATCGGGTAATCGAGCGACACGATTTAGTGGAATTGCTGTCATGCGATTTCTTCGACTTCTGGCGCCGCTGGATCCGTCAAGCCGCGTTAACTGGAAACCATTCTTCATTTACACATTCGCCAAAAACTGTGCAGTGGAACACCTGCATCCTCTAGATTTTTAGATAAACAACAGCGATAAGATTTAGATAAACAACGATTTGTAAGATCGAATACCGTGTGCAGTTCATTTAGCAAATTCTTTTACAATTATTCTAAAATTGTTCTAAAATTGTTCTAAAATTGTTCCAAAATTCTTCTAAACTTATTCTGAAATTATTCTAAAATTACTCTAAAATTATTCTAAAGTTATTCTGAAACTGTTTTAAAATTATTCTACAATTATTTTAGAATTATTTGTAAATTATTATAAAATTATTTTAACATTCTTTTACAATTATTGTAAAATTATTCTGGAATGACAATTCAATTTTGAACAAACATTATAATAATCTATGCTTTATACTCATATTACTACTATCTTAATCATCTAATTATCATATTAGTACCGATTGTTACATTCTATCTCCGTTCATCGTTATCTTCTTATTATTACTTTCCTATCTAACTATCTTTGTCTCATTTGCTCACTATTGTAACATTTTCTGTAACAAAGGATACACGTCGTCGACACAATAAACATTACTATTATTAATACTATTTCTATTATTATTATTGTACAGTTTCTCGCATTTTAAAAATCTGCACTCGCAATAAATGCACAAAAATCTACAATCCACTGGTTACCTTTTCAAATCATTCTAGTGTCATAGTTCTGCAGATAATTCGCAATGAAATGATAGTAATGCTTTCAAAAGTTAGGCATAGCTTGTATTATTCGCAGAATTCCACGTATACCTGCGTAATCTAAAGAAAGAAAAATGCTTTTTCAGTTGCATTTACCGAGCTAAAGGAGTGTAGCTGATAGCACGACTGTTTCGCAGCTGAAACGCGAAGAGGCGAAAATCGCCGGCCGCTTGTTACCACCGTCGCCGGCACAAAATCACGCGACACCGGGCGATTATTATGGGTGTTTCGAGAAAATCAGTTACTTCAGTCCCGCTTTGAAAGAAGAGAGAAAGAAGCAACGCGTACCGGAGCTACCGAACGTGAAGATCAAGCCTAATCCACGAGGAGGACCAGGATACGCGGATATCGGCATGAGCCCTTACCCGACTTACTCCCACGAGCCGTATGATCGCGAAATAAGATTCAGAAAAGGTAAGGTGGATTTTCTTTTTCATGTTTCGCTATTGTAATAACGGAATCTTAGTCGACGCCGGAATCGGGTTCGTGAATATCATTGTTTCAGGAATTATTTTGCTCGAGTATCTAAAACGAGATGCATGTATAGCATTCTGTGAACAGTCAGTTAGAATATCTAACGATCTTATGCATATCGTTAAGATCTGTTATTACTGGACAGTGAATATTTTGTACAAAATGATCCGAGTCAATTGTCAGAATCAGAAACGAAGTAAAATGGACTTCTTCCTCCTATAATATTCATAAATTAAAGATAATGTAGCAAAATTTGTATTGGGTTGGCAACTGAGTAATTGCCGATTTGTTCAATGAAATAGAAAATTTTTTTACTTGGAACGAAGTTTAATCTGTAATGTATTTTTCATTTTGTTCGATGACCTTCTGCCATCTCTCCGACAACTTGAAACTTCCACGCTCGTAGAAAGTCTGATCCTTTTCGGCCAAAAACTGAGTTAAGTGAGATTTTACAGCGTCATCGTCGTTAAAAGTTTTACCACGAAGGGAGTTGTCCAGGGATCGAAATAAGTGGTAATCCGATGGCGCGAGATCAGGGCTATATGGTGGGTGTAACATCAATTCCCAACCAATATCCATGAATTTTTGCCGAG